CCAGGATGGGCGCATCCTGAGGAATAGATCGGTGCACAAACAAATAATGTATTAGGTATTCTTCCTTTTAGAACGTTTGCATGCTACGAGGCGTGACGATGGATCCACTTGCACACTTCATAAAAATGAATCAATGTAGCTACTATTTTGATTCAGCTAGTAGAAATAAAACCAAAGAACTTATTCATAACTTTGTTCCTCTGCAGCTCCGACTATTTCCGAGGTTGGGCCGACATCCTGCCAGGTCGAATGGCAACCCCTTAATGCAATGGGTTTGGATCCTCTTATCTACGTGCTCCAAATCATGCGTGTTCAGCACGGAAATTCTGATTCAAGTGACAAAGCCGTAACTGTAAGTTTGTCCATATTTGTATTGCAACATTGGTCATACGTGGCGAATTTTAGAGGGACAAAAATATGATTCAGGAAATCCAGCAGGCTTATTTTTTTGTTTTGTCAGTCTTCTTTCCAAATAAGAACTACTGAATTTATATTAACTGTAGTAGTCGTGACTGGTCTCGGATTTTGGTCCAGAATACAGATCCCCTACACAAAAAACGTCCTAGATCCACGTAGGGTGCGTCGATCATCGCAAGTTGCAAAGTATACCATCCCGAGGCGGACCTTTTACCATTTTTAATAAATCAGACATATGCAGCATTACTTACATCGGCGTATCCCGATAACGAAATGTCCAAGGAACAGGAGATGTGTGCGAACCGGGCTTAACCCAGTAACGTTGTTTTTAACTTCACGGATAGGGGAACTTATTTAGACGCTGGAAACAACAATATCCGATAATTGATTAAAGCCAGGTCCACTGATGGGAACTCAATCGATCGATGTATTGATTTGGCCTCGGCCTACAGTCACCTCTCGCTTGTCTGAGAGTTTTTTATCGACTGCTGGTAGGACCGTAGGCAGTGACTGGCGTGAAGTGCTTATCCCTCTAACGCCTGCCGTACTCACGATCCAGTCGAACTGTCCTGTGTTATAAGGACGTGCGGTTTGAATTTTCCTATAACCTGATGACAGTAACACACTCATACTGAATGGTGCCTTTTTGCGCAAATATCGATGGTTCATTCTGTGTGATATTTCCGAGAAGGGAGCTAAAGGCTCCCGTGTCCTATGGAAAAAGTGTCGCGATGCACAAAATAGGAGTTTTAAAAAATAACGATGAACATATTTAACTGCATGATTTTTACGTGCCTCTTACCTATACACCTCCTTGGTTTTAGGTCTATCGAGGTGCTCAGACCTCCTACCTTCTTAGTGGTCTGAGCTCTGGCGCCGACTACATTGCCCGTGTGTATGCCATTCGCCTCTGTCAAGTTCCTGTTGAGAATTCTGATTTAGTGATGTCCTCATCATCCTATGCAAAGTACAACAACTGCGTTACCTCCTCGGAAGATGTTAAAAAGGAATTAAATGTGAGTTGGTCCCCTCAGCTACTGAACTTTAACGGCAGTATGCAGGAATGGAGAAACCCATAAATGGTTACGGATTGGAATTGTTTATATGCCCCCCCCC